CCAAAGCCTTGCTCAGGCGCGCCATGGCAGCAGTGGCTATGGCCCGTTCCCACTGCAAGTTGATCCGGGCATCGCAGTGCAGCACACTCGGTCGGTTCAAAAACCGGCCACACAACAAGTATGAACAAAGAAGTTGCGGCGCCTTATGTGGTGGATGGTGCTGTGCATCTCATTCAACAAAGGCCAGGCCGATTTGACGCGCTGATGGGACCTCCCTCGTCTGAGACCTCCCGCCCTGCAACTTCGAGATACCTTCTACGCTTATGCAAGTGAAGCCTGTTGCAAAACTGTTGTCTTCTGCATTTGTTTCCTCCTTTCCAAAAGCCTACCCTCCATGCCCCTCTTTAGGGAAGTGCCCTCACCGGCTGCTTCCTTGCTCAAGCTCATGGTGAAAACCACCAGTTAACACCCTTAGGGTTGTGCTGATCAAATTTCAGCGTAAAGCAGCCTCGTCACGGAGCAAACTAGGGGTTTGGCAGGCTGCCGGCACATCTACACTTACTCGCCTCGGCCTGTTTCTATGGGAGAGTGTTGTTGTCTTTCTTTCTTTCGTTCTGGCTATGGGATGACCAAGGAGGTCATCCCGGGCGCCTGCCCAGCCCGTGTTGGGCTTCTCAGACCTCTACCCCTCTATTCCACAAGGACGGCTGCAGAAGTTGCAAATTTACCTCGTTACAGGGAGCCCAGTTGCTAGCCGCGTGTGTGGATGTTTTTTGGTGATTGATTCATCACAGGTTGCCTCCATGTTCCTAAGGACCTACATGTGTACACTCTAGTGACGAAGCAGCCACCGCTTCAGCACAAAGCGCACAGAGTTCCTTTTCCAGCTGCTATCGCACAAACGGTAGTCTAAGGCTTCAAGGGGCCCCTGAGCCAACAGCATGTACACACAAAAGGTCAAGCCTACACTGCAGGCGCATTCACAGCACCCTAAAAACTTTGTTGACCTTTTGGACGGGCACTACCTGCGCTTCACTTGTCCAACCTCCCGTCGATGAAGGCGCTCTTGTAGACGGTCTTCTTCCGCCACAAGTCTAAAGGTGCCCTTTTCTATCACGCCCAGCAAGGCATCAGGGTTCGCCGCCAGCTTGGTCAAGGCGTCAAAGATCATGCTTTGGTGCTCGACCCACCGAACTTGAACCCCCAGACCATCGATCCTCTCACGGGCGATGGCCACGTCCAGCGCGGTGAACTTGCCTGCGGTTGGTTTCCTTCCTTCATTAAATTGTCGTACAGCGACTTCGCGTCCACCACGGAGAGGGATTCCCGAAGCGTCTTGTCGGCATCGGATTTCTGCAGCACCAACTCGGCCTGGGCTTTTAAGCTTTGCCTGAACTCTGCCAAGTCGAACTTCGGGTCAAGGAGCTCCGCATAGATCGCTCGGGCCCACACCAAGTCTCCAAGCCCTTTGTTCAAGGACTGAGCTTCCGCTGCCAGAGTCGAGCTGACCTTCCTCCGCAGCTTTCCGGATTTCCACCACACGATGGAGCAAGCTGCCGACTCGCCTTCCAGCAGCTTCTTGTCGAAGGCCACGATCGCCACCGCACCTTGGGAGGTGCCATCCTCGTGGTTAGCCCACGATGCATCCGTGACCGTGCCCAGCCAAGCTTGTCGGGCGGTATCGGGAAATACTTCAAAGTAAGATCCCGCTTGGCCTTGGCATTCTGAATGGCTCTGTTGATTTCGACCAGGTCCTTCACTTTCATGGTCTTCATGCGGGATGCCAAAATGCTTGCGGGCGCCGCCAAGTCAGGCCTTCCCTCTTTGGCGGCCCATGCAATGGAGCCAATTGCTCCTCTGGCCTTCTGCCTTTCCTCTTCTGTGACCGGGCTGTCTGGCTGGCTTCTCCGTCCACGCTCTATGGAGATGGGAGCCATCCGCTCTTCGACGTACTTGCCCATGTCGACCGAAATGGTTCCGTCCTTGTCTTGACGGATCCTTCTTCCATTGAAGGTGGTGCCCTCGCGCAGGTCCTGCAGGTACTTGAACTTGCCGAACTTAAACCTCTCCCTGAGCGCGCTGAGGCGTCGGTCGTGCTCAGCATAGCCGAAAGACAGGATGTCGTCTATCTCCACTATGATCAGTCCCTCCAGCCTTTCTTCAAAGTACAGGGAGAACACTGTCGGGTCCAGGCGAGACTGGCGGTACTGAAGGCTGCCGGTCAAGTACTCCTTGAAGGTGCCTCGCCAATGAGCTGGGCCATCTATCAACCCATAGACCCCCGCCACCAGCTCTATAAGTTGCCCGGGAACCATCCCCGGCAAGCTTTACGCGTAAAGCTTGCCAGCCGGCCTCTGCAGCGGGTTGCTTTGCATAAATGCGGACTTAAGATCCCCGCAAGAGCCTGGCACGCGGTGACTCGCGGCCAACTGCAGGATAACCTGCAGATTTTGCGTGCACACTGTCGGGGAGTAAGCTTGGAGATCACAAGCATCTGGGTCTTGATCACCCCGCACGCACCACCGCGACTTGAAGCTTGGCGGTTCGCCTATCTGCTCCGAGGGTTTGTAGCGTCGAACTATTCGACTGTCGATCACTCGGCCCAGCTCTTGGGTCTTCTCCAGTTGCTTGAGGGTCTCGAGGGACTCGGCCAAGGACAGTACCCTCACCGCCGGTGACCCTTCTATTTTCGCCCACTCTTCCGCGTCGGCCGCGTGCCACTGCGGCCACTCCTCTTCGGGAATGTTGCGCTCCAAGACCTCGTCACTGTTGAGCTTCTTCGCGGCGAAGGCTTCCGGCGAAAGGACCTCGTACATGTAGCGCTTGGTGTCCTGAGTGGCCTCCTCGGAAGTCAAGTTCTTTCGGAGGTTCTTTAAGGCGGCCTTGGTGAGGAAAAAGTCCGTGGCTCCTTTCCACTTCCCGCTTGCCCTCTTAGACGGCTTCAGGCTTTTCCAGTCATCATCTTCATGATCTTGGGCGCCGTCCCGGTACCTTCGCGAAGTGGACCTTTCACAGGTGAGGTCGGCAATCTGCACTGGCATTCGAGGACCTTCCCATGGAGAAAAGGGATGCGACCTCCATTTCACATGGCGCCTTCTCAGGACACCCTTTTCCACCAACAGTTGCCAATGGTCTCTCTGAGGTTCTCGAGGAGAAGCTGTCGTAGGAGGCATCGGCTCCACCTCATCCGCGGCAAACCAGTCCGTCTCCACCGGCCCTCGTTGGTAAGGGTGAGCTCGGTCCTCGAACTGGACGGTATGGTTGTTGCGCCTCTCGCGCCCTCTTGGCTGCCTGCTCTGCTGCGGCCGCCGGTTGCGAAGGAAGTCCATCCAGCTGGCGGCTTTGACGCGACGACGCTGCCGCCGAAGAGACAGCTTGGCCCAGGTCCGGCTCGGTGACGTTTGGCGGTCCTTCCGCCTCAGGTTCTCCAGTCGTCTCTCTTGTCATCGAGCGCTGGCGCGCCACAGCTTCCTCCAACACTGGCGTCTCAGCCGGCTCTGCGGTTGGAGGTGGTTCAGGCGCCGGCAAAGGTGGCAGCGGATACGGGGTCTCCGGCTCGAAGATCCGAACGCGGGGCTGGCCTCGCTGCTCCCCTTCGGCATCCACTTGCTCGTCTCGATAACCTCTTTCTTCAGCAGGAGGTAGTGGATCCTGAGTGGTCAAGCACACCTCGGCGATCCGGCCCGAAGCGGCCTTGAAGATCTTGAAACACTTGATGCACAGCCTCCACTCCTTGCATTTCTTCTGACGTTCCTGCTCTCACGTGTTCATTCGCTACTTTCCAAATCTTGCCTTTGACATTGACGTACACGTTGGGGCCTTCTGGGAGAATCACCACACCTGGTCCTTGCCAACCAGAGCGCCGAGCTCACCGAGCTCCCTGCGATCTCCAGCTGCGCCACACGAAGACCAGCTCGCCGGGGTGAAAGGAACGTTGCGTCCGGGTCCTCGCCCTCATAGCTCTCCTCAAGGCCACGGAGTTGTTCACCTCCGCGAACGCCTTCTGAGCTGCTTTGCGAGCGGCCAATTTGCGCTCCATCTCGGGTCCTTCCCCCAGCAGCGCGGGCTCCACCATGGCGTCCGACAGCAACTCCCCGGTTGGCTTGGGAGTTTCCCCTATCATCCGCTGCACTGGGCTGCACCTGCTCCGATCTGACAGGCGATTCTTCGCCGCCTCCACTTTCCTGACCAGAAGCTTCAGGTCCTCCGAGCTGGTCGGCGGGTTGCTCCAGCGAGTTTTCTCCATCATGGCCTTAAAAAGGCCGCGTGCCTTTCACACCTGCCGTTTTGGTGCAGCGCTCTGGCACCGATCGTGTGGATCAAGATGCCGAACTGGTTGGCTTTGTCCCGGAATTCCCCAAGGAATTCTGTTCCTTGATCCAACAGAAGCACCTGAGGAAAGCCCAGAAAGCGAGCCCAGCTTCGCATGAACGCCAGCCACACTGCCTGGGGTTCTTTCGAGCGAACTTTCTCGATCAGCTGGTAGTTCGTCCCCACAGCATATTCAGGTAGTGGTCGGTGTCCGAGCCATCCCACGTGGGCATTTGCAACAGGTCAACCGCCACCACCACATTCGAGTAGCTCTTTGGTACGGCGGCCGGGCGTGCCGGCTTCGGCAACACTCCAGAACTGCAAGCCGGACATCTAAAGGATTGCTTCACCCATTTCCAAAGGTGATCGGGCGCCCCGCCGATCCGCAAAGTCCGGGCCAAAGATGCCGAAGTCGGGGCGCCCCAAATTTTGATGCAACTTCTGAATGGCCTCCCTCTCCTTGACGCTGGGCTCCTTGACGGCCGGTCGCCTGCTCCTCTATCTCGCCCTCGTCCGGGAGCTCGTCCTGGTGGAACTCGGGGGCCTGCTCCACCGGCGACTTCCACCACGCTTCCGCCGGCTTGCTCTCTCCACTTGCTGAACGCTGGTACCGGACATGGTCTTTTGCATTGGTAAGGGTCCGGGACTTCCTCCAGAGACGTTGGGCCGCCGAGCTCTGCAGACACTGGGACCTCAACTTTTCCCACGCCGAAGTTCTGGCAAACTTCTCCAAAAACTTGATGAAGAAGATTCCGCCCCGATTCCATTGCGCCCGGGCCAACCTGCAAACGTGGTCTACACGGCGATCATCTCGATCGGCCTGGGCCACGATCACTGCCTTCGGGGCGTCCTGCCACAACTTCCACTCGAGGGATTCCGGCCGAGGCTGTCGGAAGTCCAGCGCCTTGACTTGGCCATTTTCTTGGCTGGCCAGGTCGCTCATCCAGGTGCAAATGGCGTCCTGGTAGTTCGGGAAGTTCGCCTCCTGATTCGGAAAAATCTCTACATCCTCAGAAAAATTGGCGTGCACACACAGCTCCAGCTCATTAATGACATGGAAAATCCCCGGCACAAAGGCAGAGGGGCTGTCAAAGTCGGCGCGGTCCCGCCGAACGAATTCCTGGTCTTGGTGGATCACCACAAAGTCTTCGACCCCAGGGGCGCGGCTGCTCAGCCATCTTCCAAGGGTGGCCGGAGTAGCAGGCTTTAAAATCCGAGCGCCGCCGGGGTCACGGAGCTCGTCGTCCTCGAGCTTCAGCTTCGCAGCAGGAGCGTTGCAATCTGAGACCTCTGCCGCAGCACTGCCTGGTAGTACGCCAGGATCTGGGACGAGCCCACCTTCAACGATTCGGATGCCTGAGTGCACTGTAGCCGGGTCTCCTTGGACGGATGGTGGGTGTTCATGCTTTCTCTCTCCACACGCTGTAGCCTCTTGAACTCTCCCACCATGCGCTGGGCCTCCTGCTTCAGGCCCTCAGCACCATCTCCAGCGAGACGCACGCTTCCTCCGCCAAGTCGATCTCGGGACCCGGGCCCTGCAGCAACTCCAGTTGGGCTCGCAGGTCCTTCTTCTGACCCGCAATCACCGCGTGGCACTGCTCCTCCTTCTCCGTGTTCATGGCGCTGGCGCTGGCTGTCTCGGACTGCGGCGCCGGCTTGGCTTTGGATTTGGCCGAGGCTGGGCTCCTCTGCGGGCTTTATCGGCATACCCTTCACCCTCGCGAGCTTCTCCGGGTTCTTCTCCAGGTGTTCTTGTAAAAGTTGGCCTTTGTCGTGCGGCCAAGGTTGTCCGGGAAGGGGTTGCTGATGATGATGCTGGGCTTATTTCCAAATTGGCTGCCGGAACACACACATCCAGGCCGAAATGGCCGTTTGATAGCGGCCCCACTGCAAGACACAGTAGAGCTTGTCCAACACGATGCGCCAAGCTTTGAGAGCGACTCGGCCTCGATTCGCGGCCTGCTTTGGTCGAGCTGAGGTGGCCGCGGCTGGCCGCTGCTCTGCCCGAAGCACTTGCGAAGCCAGCATGTCCAAACAAGCTGAGAGGAGTCGGGGATCTCATCGAAGTTGGGCCGAGGCGCTGCAGCGTGGCAACATGCTGAGTGCTGGTACGGAAGTCACGCTCTTGACGAACAGCCCTGCATGCTTCTGGGAACTGCCATCCTTTAGGACCAAATTCCATAATACTGATTGCCAGGTGACCGGAATTCAAAGAATGCATGCCTGTACTTGCTTGCACATGCCGGAACTGAATGGTACTCTCGCGAATGTTCCCAATGCTTTCAGCAAAGAAATGGGGATCAGCAGGGGGACATCCTCGGACACAACCGTAACCTCCAGCACACCCGGGACCCCTGCCAAGCCCACAGGAAGCTCACACACGCCCACTACCGAAGCACTTCCGCCAATCCCCCTGGCACTGGCGGGCTTGTCCACCCAATTTCCCCGAAGTCCAAGGGGCCGAAGGGCATCTAGGTATTTCAACAGAGCACTCTTGCCGACGAGCCCTTCCTGCGCAGCTGTGTCGACCAAGCCCTGATGATCTTCCAAAGCGACCCCGATAAAACTGGAAAGTTCCGAACCCTGCGCCTGAGGAACTTCTTTTCCACTTCTCTCGGGCTCGACTCCAGTCAAGAAGGCCGCCGAGGAAAAGCTTGAGTCGTTGCCGGTCCTCCAGTAGAAGGAAGTCCTCTGCGAGCTTGGGGCCGCGGAAGAAGAGGAACTGGATGCCGTAGCTTGAGCGGAAGGGCGCTGACGACATTCTCGAGCCCAATGCCCCACTTGGCCGCAAGCTTTGCATCGTGTTCGAAGTTTCAGCTCTTCTACGTGCACTCTCCGGGGCGCTGCCCCGAAAAAGAGCTTGCCGGCTCCCGACTTGCCCTGCTTGAGCTTTCCTTTTCCGCCATGCCCCTTGCCTCCGCCCTTCTCGCGTGACTTTCCAACTGCCGACGGTGCCCAACCTGACCCTCTATGACGAGGGTGGCTGGCCCGAGGACCTCGAGGACGATGACCTGAACTTTGTGTACCTCCAGGAAGGCGACTTGGACGAGGTCCTGGAAGAGGACGAGGTGGCGGACGCCCTGACCACTTACCAGCTCCGGCAGCAGATCAAGGACACCCGGCTTGGGCGGCAGTTCTTCCGTCCTCGGCATAGCTTTCTTCGACTTCCTCCTCCGGTCCTCCTGCGCCGTCCGCCCAAAGACTTTCTTGCCGCCTTCTGCCGAGACCCTTTCTAGCCTCCTGAGGCTGGCCGTGACATTGTCCAACGAGAAGTCTCCTGCCAGCCACGTGGTCAGCCTAGCATCCAGCTCGTGGTCCAGATTGGCCTGGCGGTAAAGCAAGTAGCCGCCGATTTGGGAGGCAAAGCGACTCCCTCATCCTGAAGTTGGGCCTGGCTCTTCTGGAACCGGATCAGGTAGTCGGTCAGCGTTTCCTTGTGGGACCGTTGGTGCCCGTACAAAGCTGCTTCCAGGGCTCTCGGCAATGCCGTCTCCACATACGGGGCGAACGCCGCCTTCAACTTCTTGACCACATTCGCGTAGCCATCCGCGCCCTTGATCTCCTCCACGGTCAGGACCTCAACCGCCGACTTGGCGGCTCCCGACAAGACCTGCACAAGCTTCAAGCCCTGCTTCTCCGCCGGGACGTCCGTCCCTGCTTTCCAGAGCTCCAGGTCACGCATGTAGCCCTTGAACGTTGACTGAGGGTTCTCTCCAGAGTAGCCAGGTGGCGGGTCCTTGTCCCGATACACCCATCCCGACTCAGCTCCATTGGTCTGCTCGGCCATCCCGGTCGAAGAGCTCTAGGTGAATAGGTAATCGGAGGATTAGGCGCGAAGCTCGAAGCTGAAGAAGACGGGTCTCCGCCGAGCTTCTCCAAGGACTCCTGGATCGGCTTCTCCTGGACGAAGAACTGGCCGCCTGCGCCGGCTCTAGGTCGCTGTCGTCCTCCGGGCCGAACACCTGCAGGAGGTTAACGGATCGGAAGAACTCCCTCCGGATCTTTGGCGAGAGCCGGTCTGCCACAAGCTTCGTGAGGTCGTTGATCAGAACCACACTTTTCCAAGGCCGGGCCTGTTCCCGCGCTTGGCGCGTGGCTAGCGCCTGCACGTGCCGGTTGTCCTCCGGCTTGCCCTGCTTCCTTGCAATCTCAGCCCTAAGCTGGTTCGAAAGGTAGTACTGACCTTGGCTCCTCACGGACTCCAGCTCAAAGTCGTCCGCTGAAACCAGGGCTCCGGTGCCAACTGACGAAGCAGCCACCGCTTCAGCACAAAGCGCACAGAGTTCCTTTTCCAGCTGCTATCGCACAAACGGTAGTCTAAGGCTTCAAGGGGCCCCTGAGCCAACAGCATGTACACACAAAAGGTCAAGCCTACACTGCAGGCGCATTCACACTAGCAAGGATAATTCAGTGTTTGGAAGACTCTGTGAAACTACTTGGCCAGGTGGTAACAAAAAGCACAAGGTGTAGTGCGCCCATTATGGTAGAAAAGGGTGGTTTACGTGTATGGGAAGTTGGCCTTTTGTGTGAGACGTCAGTTCCTTGGGCGTCGCTCTTGGGGGAACTGTAGGGTCAACAGCTTGCATGACACTACAATTTCGGCCCATCGCCCCCGTCAATGGCAAACTGCCTTTCTAGGTTTTTTCTTTTTTCGGGCGAGGTGTTCTTGCCCAGTGGCTTTATCAGAGTTCGACAAGCGCCAGTATGGTACAGTTGCCTTTTCACTGCAGCAATGGCTGCAGGAGGGCGTTCCAGGATGCTGTGATGGCATGACTCCATCTCAGCAGCTTTTTGCTGCCACTTCCTCCACGGTGAGGATTTCTGTGGGCTCTTTCGACTGTCTGCGTGCCTGGGGGATTCTTGCTGTGTCATCTGCCAACGTCAGGCTTTCCAAAAAGTTGCTGGCTGAAGTCCCCCGTGGAGAGTTTCGTGTTCTCCCGCAACTTGAAGCACTGTTGAGCATCATCGTGCTGTGTATCGTCAGGATCAAGTATGTTGGCAGCAGGCAACCCATGTTTACTGGAGTTATTGCGTTCGGCTTGATGCTCGCGGGAGGAACCTAAAAGGTTTTGGGAGGCCCTGAGAGGTGCCACCCAACATGTGGAGAACCCTATCTGGCCATCTAACGGCTGGCCCAATCCCCGGGCATTGGGCAACATAATGCAACATGCGAAGGGTCGCCAATGAAGCTCAGCAAAGATGGTGTGAACAGCAGCTGCAACTCAAGAGCATCACATTTGAGACTTTGTCACCTGTTCGCCGGCTACGTTTGCTAAGAATTGCGGGACGTGTAGTGGCTTCGCCGCCACCTGCCCCGCTTGCTACAGACTGAGCACGTGGCTCCGCAGCCCGCAGCTGTGATAGAAAGTGGAACAGAACATAACCTCATCTCTCACGAGGATGCATTTGTGCGACCTGCACAACATGCTTAAAGATTCATAAGTGCAGAGCTTAGCATGGTCCTCGAGAAGAGTTCAGAAGCTCACATCATGCAGACGCCTTAAGGTGCTGCACCTAGAAGCTCACGCTTCATGTCGTTGCACCTCTGCTTGTCTGAACATGTGTGAACAGGACCACATACCTGGCCGTGCAATTCCATACAAGGCTCAAAACTGAGCGGCAAGCTCACTCGAGATTTTACGGAACATAGTGCGAAGCTCATCTGCCTGTTGCATCCCGTGCCCTGAGACATCAGAACTGACAGCAGTCAAGGAGCAGCAGGGAAGGCTGCGTCTCCAAAGCCCAAGGCAGTAGTGACCATTGATTGTAACGCATATTGGGACAAATGCATGTCGACAAATATAGGACACTGACAAGCGTAGAACCCTCTCAAGGATTTGCTGGGAACTTCCGAAGTGCGGTGCAGCACGGAATTGGCACCTTGTGTCTGTTCCAGGCCAAACATATGGAGAATCACCCTATGCCATCAGCATCGACAAGATTAGTTCGCTGATGCGAGGGGCGTCTTCAATTGCTTTGGCAATTCCAAGCGCTCTTGCAGCAAAACATTGATATGATATGTGCACCACACATTCTCACTCTAGACCAAGCCATGTAAGCATGCCAGCAATCAGGCACCACCGATGCCTGCATCGGGGCCTGTGACTCAAGCAGGTCGCCCAGCGCCTGCAAACTGCTTTGCAAAGGAAACAGCAGTGCTCTGCAGAAGCAGCTTTGAGGTCAGACTACCTGCCTTGCAAGACAATCAAGCAGCTCCGCCTTCAAACGCGCACTCCAGCTCCCGTGTCCGGCTGTCTGTCGAACCTACATCATGCAGCTGCCGATGGCTGCTGCTGAGCCGAAGAGCTTGAAAAAGCGCGAGGTTCTATCAGATCCTTACATACTTCCGACTTGAGACTCGGGAAGCCTGACTCGACGTTTTCCTGAGGTTCTGAGCTGATCATGGGCCCTTGATATAGATACTTGTCTATAAAGGTTCCAAGCGCTGGCCTTACAGGAGTTGTTTGTTTGATTCACATGTTGACTCATCGGTGCATACCATGTGTGTACAACTCCGAAGTAAGGACGCAAGGTCAGAACACATGCCCGTGACACAGTGACCATTTCAACATTCACATGTGTTTGCATTGGGCATGTTACATCATGTTGTAGGTGCTGGACCAAACGGGCGGCATAGTCGGCCTGCCATTACATTGCTCACTATCAACTAAACAGCTCCTTGTAGGGGGTGCTTTTCACAACAAGGGCAGGAAGACTTGGATTCCCATAGGTGCCTCGCTCTCGCCGTCATCTTCAAGGACAGCCTGGACTGCGGGGCCACCAATTTAAAGCAGTAGCACAGCCCGCCACAGGGTTCGATTTGGGATAACATGACAAAAACGCGAAGAGACTTCAAGCCTCCAACAAGCGCTGCACGCGCGGCAGCTCATCATCATCCGTACCCTCACCCAACCAGTCACGGACCAAAACCTGTCGCAAGGCAAAGTGCTGGATTCGGATTGCATCCACATGTGGTTTCACAACTTGCCACTGCGTACAAGGAGAACAGTGCAGCAGTGACTGACTGACACGTGCAGGAATACAGAGGCCATGGAATCATGCATACATGACATCTCACTCGCACACTGCACCGAGCATCAAGCAGATCCGTGAGGATGCAGAACGCAAGACACTGGACTGTTATCCACAAGCACCTCCAGCTCTATAAACCAGGCGACTGGAAAATCCCGTACACATACATTCAAAACATTTCTCGTTGCTGGGGTCTGCACCCTGCGTTGAAGAAGTTGCTGCTCAGTCGCATTATCCACATCATCTGCAAAATTCAATGCTCTCACAGAATCAGTGACATTGAACACGTCCTGAAGTGATGCTTGGGTGCAGGCATTTAGACGGGATCTGAGACATCTCCTAGACACCAAGAAGGCAAGCTTACCTCACCGTCGCCCAGGGTTTAGGCTTAGTCGACCAAGCATTCTGTCTGATGTGGGCTCCTTAAGCAAGAATCCTGGAATGGTGCACGGCTTGCATTTCTCTCTGGTCAGAACCTCGGCCAGCCCAAGGTTCATGAATTTGCTGCAAGTCCTAGGCAGAAACACTCTCAATTGCTGAGCTTTGAAGCTCGCATTGCAAAGACGCGACCGCCAGGATCCACGTGGCGCATCAGGGCCTTCTAATTCATGCACTGCAAAATTGTAAATCTGCTATGAGTATTGTTTGGGCGCTTCCTTTCATGCAAAGTTCTGCTGCCCAAATAACCCCCCAAGTAAAAGTTGCCAAATCAGCTCAACAGAAGTAACTGAAGCCCATTTGCCGCGTCAAGCCCTGTGGTACATGTTGGGGATAGGGTATCTAACAGGAACGACAGTTGCAGGACCGACCAAACCAGGTGTGCCATCTCAAAGCTCAGCAGCCTTGGTGTAGTTTGGCGTAGACGTGGTGTAGATCCATGGGCCTGCCGCATACGTTCTGCCAAGGCCATGCAGAACTCTGCAAGCGCGGATAAAATTTCCAAAATCTCCTAAAGTACATCTTCGGGCTGCGGCCGATTTTACTCCTGCAGTCTACACGCTCAACTCTAAAATCTGTGCTCTGAGAGCATGGGCATAGGCCATGGTGGGCTTCAAGCCTCGACCAAGTCCTGCTGGTCACGGGCCTGCTGGGTTTGCGAGACACGTTTGCGTCTGTGCTGCGCTAGTCCGCTGGTGGCTCCGTTCAATTTCACAATGCCTTTGGCACCGATTCAGTGCAAGAGGCCAAAAGATGTCGTTGGTGCTGACACTCACCGTGCTTTGAGAGGGCATTCAGGATGATCAGGTGATCCTCGGAATCAAAGAAGACCATCCGCCATGGCAGTCCTGACCCTTCCGTAATGAAGCCCAGAATCGAATCACATGCTGCAGTGCGAGAACCATGGAATGGCTTTGAGGGTCGAGAACGCCTCACAAGGGTACCTATCTTTGAGATGCTGCCGCTAGCACATGGCCTGTAATGGTGAACTCGTGTTGGGCTTCGACCTAACACAGGTGCTGAATTGTGCTGAGGATGAGGACTCTGCCACGTGGGTGGAATTAGGGAAACAGTGTGCATCTGGTTGCCTCCTCCCATTGCTTCTCTGCGTCAGCTGGTCTCAAGATTCCTGCAGACTTGCATTTTGCCTGGCAAGAGGGAAGGCTGTGGAAAACCAGCAGCAGCAGAGCGTAAACTCAAGCTGGGGGCCCAACATAAATCAAGTGGAATTGCACGTGATCCTTGACATAAAAGCAAACCTGGGCGCTCAATGAAAGAGGTCTGCAGCAACTTCTGCACAGCCTGCTGCCATCTTGCAAACTGCTGAGGAAATACAAACATGACCATTTGGACTTGGCGGAAGCTAGACTCCTGACACAAGGTCTGCAGCAAGAACTGCCAGAAAATATGCCAAGCCGCAGAAGCAAGGCTACCGGGCACCCTGAGAAGGACTTTGATCAGAAAGGATTCGCCGCGACTTAATGCACCCTGGGTGACTTGGGAGCTGCAGTCGAGTGTCACGCACGTCTTATCCGCCTTGTAGGTCAGCGTCTGGTGTAGCTTTGGACCCGGTGCAAAGTGCACCATGAAGGTGTCCATTAGCGCTTGCGCCTACGCAAGAAGCTGCAACCATCAGACAACCGCGCAATGTCCACTGCCTCATAAACCTGATACTTTTTGGTGATCGCTGATCCAATGAAGTGATCGTAGAATCGAGCAGCACCTGACTTCCAGATGCAGACTACTACGGGCATCGCTACTACCGACAATCCCAGCCGTAGCGACGGCCAGCAGTAGCAGCCTCTGCAGCAGGCGCAGCAGCAGCCACAGCAGCAACTGCAGGAATCCGCTGCAATCGGCAGCAACGAACATCCAAGAAAACTTCCAGGAAGCACAGCAACAGCAGCAAACGCAGCAGAGAGGACAGCGGCAACTGCAAATATACCGCAAAGACTGGGAACTGTCAGTGCCGCCCCGAGTTGACTTGCTCAACTCAAAGTGCCAAACACCGGCTTCCCTTGAAAGACTCCGGATGCAAAAGTGCACATCCAAAAGCAACAAAATCAAAGGATCCAAGGCACCCTGTATCTGCTCTCGCTTGGGCAGGAGAACGACTGCCTCGGACAAAGCCAAGGCGTTCTTGGCTCCATGGTTGCCAGTCCTTTGCTTCACTGCTTGTGAAGGACGTTACGGGACAAAGACTACGCGAGGCCAAGAGATTCTTCTGCTTTCCAAGCAGCAGTCCACTTGGAATAGCTCTTATCGCCCCAGCCCAACCAGAGGGTGCCTAGCAGCGGAAAGGACTCTCCGGGCTGTGACTCCTCTGAGAAGTTTGCAGCAGGTATCAACATATATTAAATGGGCCATGTTCCGAATCCTTCTTTGCATGCTCTGGGAAAATTCCACTCGGGAACTCAAGCAGCACGCGCCAGCCTCAACTTTTCCACGTCAAAACTGCAGTCTTATCTGCGGTTTGTTGGCGTTGGGTTAAGATGGCGTCTCCATACCCATCCTGCTACAGGGCTTCCCACCTAAAATTGGGTTGAAAGTTGAGGGGTGGTAGAGCTTTTGGGTTTCGGGCTGTGATTCCCACAGCCTTGCTTAAGCCAAGATTTAAAGGAAATAGCTTTAGAACTACTATTCAGAAAACAACTACTTCAAATTACTTCGAGCATCCCTGCCATAAGTGTCGTTGTCAAGCACTTGGGCTTGTTAATCTTAATTGATCATGAGGAGCCTTCTCAAAGAATTACGTTCGTTTAAAGGCCGAGATGCATGTGGGATCATGCAAGTCGCATTTTTCCGTGCTTGCCTAAGCCCTAGACCCTAAAACCCTAAAACCCTGAAACCTAAACCCTAGTTTCATTTGTTGTCATGCTTTTCCAGGCCCTGGGCGAAGGCAGCGACGGTGGCCTCCTGGATGGGGATCCTGGGGACCTCTGAAGCCCCCCTAATGATATGTTCCCGTATTCCCTAATAAACCCCAGTAAGGACAATATCCTGATATTATCACAAAATGAATGTTCTGTAGTATAGTAGTTTCCATTCTCTTTTCCATTATCCCTATATAACCCCAATATTTACCCTATAATCCCTATAGAACTCCTATATAAACCCTTTCTTGCCCTTGCGTCCACAAGGCTGTGGTGTCCAGCGGACCTTTTTTGCGTGCGAGCTCCGATCTGGAAATGTGTAAAAATACTTCGCAGGATAAAGGAAAGTGTGAAAGTATGGGGAAGAACGGAAGATGTGGAAAACATCGTAATCAGCATAACCTCAAAAAGAAAAACAAGAAAAAAACTGAAATCTCAAGACACACAGGGGTCGGAAAATGTGGAAAACAACATGAAAAAACAGTCCCACTGTCGGGCGGGAGGCCGCCTGGGGGAGGCGACTTGTGGGTCTGGGGTGGTCGCCTCCGCCTGGACTTGCGTGAATTTGGTGTTGAGCAAACCAGAAGATTATCCTAGCATGCACTGGCAACATGCTGCCAGTGGCGGCAATGATGTGATGGCAGAGCCGACTGCGCACATTCGTCAATCCTGCTGCTACTTCATGTATAAAAGTTACAGTGTAGAAGTCAGTACTCGACGTGAAGGAGACCCAAAGCATTTTCCCAGCCTGGTTTCAAAACAAAGTACACCTGAACCAACATAGCAAAGCAACGCTCTCCTTGCAAAATGGTCCTTTTCAACGCACTTGAACAGCTCTGAAAGAGAAGAAAGGCCTGGCTCGCCAAGAACGTCCTAAATGCTCTTTTATTCGTCATTAGGCTGGTTTCTTTTCGGTCATGTCTTGTGTTAACATGGAGATACTCTGACAACATCCGGTTCTGGGGCCTACTCTACACCTTTCAGGTTGATTCAACGTACCCGAGGTTACCGGTTGCAAATCCGGAACAACAACCATGCGTTTCCATGCTTCAAATATGTCATATCCAAGAATCCAAACCACATTCTATGTCATGTTTTACTGCATGTCCCCAAACAGGAGCCATATTCTATTTCGTATGTTCCCTCATATCCTAAAATCCAAGCTATACTTCACTTCATGTGGTATTGCGGAGCCAGGCGGGTTCATTACCGATGCGTTTCAAGAGCTTTCTAGCTGCCATCTGGCAAGTACTCATAGACAAGTTGGAGAGGCCGAATGATTCAGGGCGAAATCCAGACATGTATAAACAGGTAGAACTTACCTCCATACCCGTACAGCTACAAAAAACATTCCCAGAAACTTAAGTAAAACAAGGTGGCACGTCTTCTCGTGACCTCCGCGAATTTTCACTAGCAAAAGTGGTTCGGGGATTCGAAATTTGCAAAAACCTTATATTTTTAGGTTTCTATTTCAAGGGCTTATTTTGATAAGGGCTAAAACACTGAGACAGGTCAACTTGTCTAGCGACTTTATGGGTTTCACCATGGCGAAAAGCACGTTTTGAAAGTGGAAAAAAAAAACAAACCTTTCGCGATGAGTAGACAGGCATGGTTGCTGCATGACATTGAGGGTGCTGAAACCTATACACGTCAAGAGGGCTTCATCTAACTTTTGCTAATAATGATGGATGTAGCATACCACAGCCACTAGCCACAACTCTCTTCAGTTTACTGTGGTTTGAAACATGAGTCAATGAAGGGAGGGCCCAAATACTACAAATACTGCTTGCTAAGGACTATTTGGGATTTGAAGCACATGAACATGTCCGGACTAGTTGCACGAACGTTTTTATCCTGGTAGCATGGATGCGGTTCTGAACATGTCCGGACTAGTTGCGCGAACGTTATTATCCTGGTAGCATGGACGCACTTCTGAATATGCGCGCGCGACTTCCCTTGCAGTGGTCTTGGAGCGCTGACTCTCGGGAAGCTCGTCCAGACACAGTGCGGCAGCAGAGCGCAGTTGACTCCCCCGCATGGCGACGCTAACCCCTGTGCCTCCTGAGCCAGAAACATCCGCAGTGTCTGCGCATGCGGAAAAACCCAGAAACGCACGGTCCTCGAGTGGACGTGCCACCTAAAACAATTCCCAACAAAAAACTCAACAAAAAGATCCAGAAAAATCTGACCAGGAAGGTCAAAATAGCCTGGCGGAGCAGTCGGCGCCTTAATTTTAATTTTGGTAAATTTATGCCCAGCTGGATTAGGTGGCTGAGACAATTCTAATCCTTTCGGATAATGTTGAGGTAGGGTTGTAAGAGAAACACTAGATCTAGATCTACGACAAGATTTTATGGAACCAAAACACGGTACGGGCAACTGATTTTTCCCCGCGAGTCTCCTTACGACTCGTGAACTACATCTGCGTGGATTTTGTAGGTGCCGGGGCATTTCGGGCCCGCCACTTCGGTCCGGAGACGGTGCGTTTCGGGTCCGCCGCTCGGGTCCGAGCGGGGTGCGTTTCAGCGCGTGCCCAGGTGCGTTTCGGGACATGCTCCGGTACGCTTCGGGTCCGCCGGCGATTTCCGCACGGCGCCTCCACGTGGAGCGTTCTCAGAATCCGATTTGCGTGGAGCGTCGTCAGAATTGGATCTCTCGACAGCGCGGAGCGTCCCGAGAATCCGATTTCCCACGGTGCTCCTGCGTGGAGCGTCCTCAGAATCCGATCTCCCGACAGTATCTCGCCTGAGCTTGTGAATAGAGATAGAGGCCTCGCCCCACCTTTGGGGTTTCCCAAGAGTAGGGGTACCTTTTTTGGGGATCCAAATAATAAGGATTAGAATATTTTTTGGGTCCATATTGGGGTCACCCTTTTCAAAGAAGCCACCATTTCTACTCTGGTCCCTTGGAATTCCTCAGAAGGCCCTCCTGCACCACGCGATTTGGTGTAGTGTCTAGAGAAGCTCCAACTGTTCCGAGAGCTGCAACTTAGACGTCGGAGGCCTACAGTGCGTCTTAGCACCGAACGCCCGGATTTCCACAGTCACCACAGCGCCCTCCTTGCCGTGCCTTGGCCGCTTCAACAAGGCTTTCCAACACGAAGGTAATATAGACCCTGAATTATGACAATATGATCTTCAAGTTACCATAATCATGCAAAGTATCTAGGAACATAATACTGGTAACTATTCAGGCTTCTACAATATCTTCACGCCATATAATTATACAAAGAATCTAAGAACACAATACTGGTACTTACGCTCCCGAGTAGAGCGCCCTGAGAAGCCTATTTCTCGACAGCGTTCCCGTGGAGTGTCCTTAGAATCCGACGTCCCGACCTGCGCGGAGCGTAATCAGAATCCGATCTCCTGACGGCTGTCCCGAGAATCCGATTTCCCGACAGCCCTCCCGTGTAGGGTTTTGTCAAAACCGGAGCTCTCGAATGTGGAGCGCCGCCCTGATATCTGATTCCGACGTTGCTCATCGCGGAAGCGCTGTTGAGCGAAAGCTACTTCAGCTCCTTGGCCAGGCATGACTTGCACGTGTACACCCATTCGTAGGAGCCGTCATCGTCCGTGATGGTCTCCTGGAAGTGCTCCAACACCTTCACGCTCTTCATGTTGTTCCATTTGTCGACATTGTTGGAGGCATTGCACTTCACCATGGGCCACTGCGGCGCCGCCCCTCCAGTGCTACTCGCCGCCGTGGACGTCAGCATGGCTGTCAGACCAACAGTCGGTCGGTCAAGTTAATGGCAAGGAGGAATTTATGGCCTGCTAACCAGCTAGACCCAACAAAAGTACAGGTGCCCAGCAGAACCACAGTCGGCCAAGTTAATGGCAGCGAGGAATATATGGCATGCTGAGAAAGGAGCCCCGTCTTAACGGACCAGAAAATCAACCCCAGTCTCCATAAACCCTGATCCCTAAAAATAAGCCCTAATCCCCTAAAGCTTGAATCCCTGAGACCCGTATCCGTAAACCCCAAATCCCTAAATCCCTTAAACCCAGACCCCAGAAGCCCAGACCCCCAACCCTAAACCCTAAAAGTCTGAATCCCTAAAAGCCCTAAAGCCTAAAAACCCTAATCCCTAAAAGCCCTAATCCCTAAACTCAATCTCCCTAAGAATGAAACCACAATCCCTAAAAGCCCTAATCCCAATTTATCAGAAAACCCCAACCCCTAAAAGCCCAAATCCCTAAAAGCCTGGGAACCATCCCGGAATCCCTAAAAACCAACCCCTAAACTCCTGAACCCCTTCAGGGCCCTTATCCCTAAACCCTTCACCCCAAATC